GGAGTTGAAGTCCACTCATCTTAAAGTGGCCAAGTTTGGACAACACTGGCCTAGGCAGTAGTGGCAAGGACAGTAAAGCAGAACTATACTTCTCCACCCTTATTGCATCTGTGACATGCCAGCCAGAAGCACAATTTAGAGGAGACCCTGTTAGAGAAAGGTGGGCCAGAAGGTCAGTCAAGTAAGAATATTAATATCACTCATATTTGCTGTGAGCTGCAATCTGGGACTTTGTTTCTTAAGTTGAGCCTGTGGCTCTTCAGAGTGGACAGGATATTTTTGAAGCCATCTCTGTCACCTATGAACTTGATCTTTGGCTGATTCAAGTTGCTAGGAGGGGGACAAAGATCTGAGTCTGGAAAGTAGGAGTTTAAAGGAACTTCCTTTACTAAGAGTATTTCTTTCCCTGTCCATTAACATAATTCATGGTACTTTCTTGATGTTTTGGACTCTCAACACTCATATAGTTTCTAATCCACATATGTGGTTGTAGATTATTAAGTTATACTCCAATTAATCTGAAGAGTACTAGGTTAGGGAAAACTGCCTGTATGCATTATGAGGAAACAATTTCTGCAGTGTCAATGAACTAAAGAGGCCAACTTGCATTGCAAGAAAACCATCAGATACTTGCCACTACCATTCCAGGAATGACACCATGTTTCTGCACCAGAAGAGGAGGTGTTTTGTTCAGTGGGTTCTCTAGATCATATTTCAGGAAACGGTAGGGATCATGTTTGCACTGGAAAGGCAGCAAATTATTCTATCAGTTTATGGAAATGTCCTGTGCACTTGTCACATAAACAATTTTTTATATACTAGAAAAGAAATCAAATGGAGAAACTATGCTTCACCAGGCAGACAAGGTGAACTGGAGATAGCTAGAGCTCTTTCTGATCAAAGGTGGGAGACTTATTCTTCTGTCTGTATTACCTCAGTCAAAATTTGATCTTTGCCCACCTGGCTGGTTCAAGTGTAGATTGTCAGATCTACACTCTGGCTGTGTGTATGGCCTGAACCCAAAATTGGTGGAGACGGAGTGAAGGTGGGAGGATTTTCAAACCAAAGTCCATATGATAAACCAATGTCTGCATGTAGTTTCATCTGCAGGTTGCACACTCAAACTAGACAGAAGAGTCTCACCAGAAGACAAAGGCAGTGTAGAAGCTCACTTCACAGCCCCTCTATTTTCCTGTTATGGATACCAAATCTCTTTTTCTCTATTTTTCTACATGAGCAATTAACATGGTAGCTATAGCTGGTTGCCAGGTCAAAAGGCAACGCTATGAAAAAAGAACCAAAAACTAAGAACCAAAACATGCACACAGTTAAAACCCCAGATAGCCCATAATTCTCTCCCACAACTCCAACAATCAAATAAAAGCATAAAAAAACAGAAGCTGAGGTCAGATGTCTAAATTAAATATAAAGAGTAACTGGAGATAGTTATTCCATCTGCCCTTAAAATGTAATCTTTTCGTTATGTTAATATATTTTAAGGGGATGGAGAAATTCACAGGGGAGTTTATTGTCCATTACAACTAAATTAAACTTCCATATTCAGAACAAATATATACCACTAGATCCTGAATTCAAACAAGAGTCAGCAAAATGGCCACTGTTGAAAAAAATGGTGGAGCAGATGAGTCTTGCCTTTGATCTACTAAGGCAATTCTACTTTAATCAACAATGGTAATAGGTATTTATAATATATAATTTACAACAAATCCCACCAATTTGTTTTGTGAAAAAGACAGATGAGAAAATGGATTCAGCTGAGGGGTGTATATTCTCTGTCTCAAAATCTGGCAGCTAATCAGATTTTTTTTGAATAAATTATGGAAAGAAAATAAAAACTATGATTTAGTTATCTTTCATAACACACAATGCAATATTATGGACATTTATTCTGAGATAATTTCTGTTGTGTCTATTGGGGCTTATTTGTTAGGTTATGACTTATACTGTGTATGTAGTAATCAGCTAATCCTTTCGTTGTTCTTTTTTTACTTTATTGTAAACACACATGGCCTCAGTCCGGGCTGAAACCACTGTATGCAGATTGGAGAGGCTTCTTTATCCCATCTATTTCATTTCTGAATCTTTCTGCTCCTCCCACTGTCCATCTTGCAGGAGTTAAGAGAAAACAAAACCTCCATTAACATAACAGATCGGGGTGTCCCCATTGCTGTAATTTCACTTGAACAAGTGTCTTGTCAAAAGTTCCTGCAGTTTTCATATACATTGACTCCCAAATCTCTAATATTCCCCTGTACCTGTCTGTCTGTCTGTCTGTCTATCATCCATCCATCCATCCTACCCCAATCCTGATAGTCTCAAGGTAGGGGTGGGAAAACAATAACAATTATTCAATATAAAAGAATGTGTAAATAAGGTGCCTAGGAACAGCTAAGGGCCAAAAGCACATTCAGACAGAATATCCTTATTTTGTGAAAGATAAAGATGGTTGGGGCTATCTGTACCTCTTGGGCAGAGTGCTCTAATGAGTGTGAGCCAACCTGAGAAGGCTTGAACTCAGCCAAAAGGCTGGGAAGTGCTACAGCTAATAATGCCCTATCCAATCAGATTTCTAGGCTGCCTGGATCCATTTTATTTAGAGTTGTTATTATCCAATCATTATGGTTTTATTTCTCTTAATGTGGATAAGTTTTGTTTTTGTAAAATATGCCATACTTTGACCACTCCAGTATTATAATTATTGGCTTTTTTTATTTGCTGTCTCACCATTTGTTTTGTTTTCTCTTCTGCTTCTTTTGAGCTGGTCAATGACTGTAATAAAGTACTACTATTACTACTATTATTACTACTAAGAAGACTTCTGCCTGGTCCAAACCCCATAAACTTAACAAGAATCTAGGATTCTCTCTAGATGTCTGGATTGCACAGGCAAATTTGGTTCTGACAAGCTGTTGCCTGATTTATCCCAGTGCCCTACTCTATAGGGCAGTGTTTCTCAACCGTGGCAACTTTAAGATATGTGGACTTCAACTCCCAGAATTCCTCAGCCAGTTATGCTAGGAGTTAAAGTCCACATACCTTAAAGTTGTCAAGGTTGAGAAACACTGGTACAGGGCTTCAAAGGGAATAACCAGTGCTTTGAATTGGCCTGGAAGCATACTGGTAACCAATGCAGCGACTTCAGGATTGATGTTATTTCATATTGACAGGGTATATGGAACTACGCCTGTATCATTTAATCTTTTCCAAACCTGAAGTATTTTCATCCTTACCTCTGTATCCCTGAAAGTGGGCCATTTCCTGTGTTTGTAGATGCTGCTCTATTTTGTAAGGCCATTTCCATTGTTCTGTACTAATGAATGAATCTTGCTTTAAGCTTGTATCCCAAGTATAAATGGGTTGCTTCTAATTTTGTTCCAGATCATGAAATAATAGCCTGAGTCAAATTCTGTGGTCAGTGAACTCTCCTAATAACATGCTACTCTTACATTACTATCACAGTTCCATAACGTAACAGTGATTAGCTAGCTAAGAAGAATGAACTTGCTTTAGGAAAATCAATGCGCAAAGCGTCAACATTTAGCTTACCTGAACACAAGGTGAGGGACGGCCGTGCTGCATATGTATGTACAATTTTTCAACAGACCACTCAAAGAAAGGAGAATATGAATGTTTTTGTGGTGACAACACACATATCACAATGACTTGATGAGGGTTTCTTGGGGCAGTGATAAACTTTTCAAATTCCAAGTCGGTAATTAATGGGATTTTCACTACACATTTGCAGCCTAAACCATCATTGGTTTTGGTCAAAATTTTGCGCAGCACAATTGGACAGTCAGTAGGAGAAATTGCCCAGAGCTCAGGTGCAGGGCTGGCATCTCTAGCTGGGGTCTCCTCTTTGGCTCTGTGTGAAGTAGGTGAAGAGGTTTGAAAGAAAAGAATGAGAAAAAGGAAATGGAAAATTAAATAAATATGCAGCTAATATTGAAGCTTATAAGATTTGGAAAGGATCAATGTTAGTACAATTTTCAGTACACTTTAAATTCCTCCCAATCTGTATTAGAGGCACACCTGGAACACAGTAAATTAAAACCTGGATTCCATTCAGAAATTATGGGGAAGTCCCCTTATCTGGACAGTGCCTTTATAACTTCAAATTAACACCCACCCACCCCACTACTGGCATTAACACATCTACCATTCTTGTTGCCATCTTCTGGTCTCCTCTTTACAATTAATACCCGGCCATGCAATAGTTAGGTGGAATTGTGCAACACTACATGGTCAGGTGGGAATTGTAACAAAAAAAGCACATTGAAGGTTATAGAGAGAGGGTAGAACTGGTGCATTTGTTCCAGTTTTCCCTGATTATTAGAGTCCTGCCATTTCACATAATGCCTGCAGAAGGCCAGCTTTGCTACAATAATCCACCTTTTGGTGACATCCGGTTTGGAGTACTATAATCAAGGGCTGCCTTTGAAAACGAACAGAAAATCTCAGTGGGTCCAGACTCAGACAACCAAATTTCAGTTTATTAAATAGCTAGGACCAGTTGATATGATCTTATTCCACCCATATTTTCTATATGCACTTGCTGCCAATCTGTTTCCATCCTAAATTCAAAATGCTGATATTAATCTTTCAAGACCTAAATGGTTTGGGATTATGTCACTGGAAGTAATGCTCTCCTCTATAATCATTTTGGATATCTTACTCCGATGCCCACATTGAATGAGTGCAACAATGTCTGACTGACAAGGCCTTATCTTGATTGATGTCTTAGTTTTGAGATATTGTCCTCAGAGAAGCTCACATAAATCAACATCAGACAAAACTTGTACTTTATCTGATATTTTCAATATTAAGATATTGTAGGGTTTTTTAAATTGCTTTACTTTTGTTAGTGTTCCTGTTGTTTGTATTTTATAAAGTAGCTTTATTACTTTTTGAAACTGATAAAAACCAAGCAGTTATAAAATGATTGGATATAAAAATGGTTCTACCAGTCATTTAGTCCTAGTCAAACTTAATAGAGATAATTATCATAGATAGGTAATAGATAGGTTATACTATATTTGACTTTTCACTATAGATTTATTTTTTGTAGTATTAAATTATTTTTACTATTCAGAGGACATTTGTTATGAGGGCATATGAATACTGTAAATAAAAAATATGTATACTGCCCTTCAGTCATACCATCACAGTGATTACAAAAAAGAGTAACAGCTGAAAAGCAAACCTGCATGTGTATACATGAGAATCACATATACATATAAATAAGATAAAAGCCATGACATTATAGCAGTAACTTATATTATTTTGGTGTTTTTTTGGCTAACAAAAGGGCAATAAAAGTTCAGTGAGGCATCTTTGGGGGAAAATGCCCTATAACTAAGGTACTACTAGTGAGAAGGCCCACTGAAACCCAGAAGGCAGCAACACCCACAATAAATTCACTATTGTCCACTCTTACCTTAAGCCAAATCTCTGTCTATTGCCTACTCCATCCATTTAATACACTTCCTTCAAAAGCTCTTTTTTCTGCTGAGAATTAGTCTCTTAGGGCAGGGGTCCTCAATCTTGGCAACCTGAAGATGTGTGGACTACAACTCCCAGAATTCCCCAGCCAGGCTGGCTGGGGAATTCTGGGAGTTGAAGACCACACATCTTCAAGTTGCCAAGATTGAGGAACCCTGTCTTAGGGGTAATTTGTTTGGGGCTGCTTGCCAATGAAGAATGGATCCAGAGCCAAAGTGAATGGGGCCACCTTTTTTTTTTTCTGGACACACCCTTTTCTGTCTCTCTATTCCTAACTCAATGCAAGAAGCTGCCAGAGAAAAGACAGATTAGTCTACATTAATGCCTTGCATTGAAGCCCAAGAGTTGTATGTGGTCCTAATGCTACATCTTGTCTATTCCTGAAGTAGTCTCCAAAATTCTATACCAGAGTTCTTAGTTTCCTTTGATTTTTTCTGATCTGCTGTATCTGATATAATGGGGCCTTATCCTCTTTTGAAATTGTCCACTTATACATCACCTCCAATAGAAGAGAACATCACCTGCTTAAGACCAGTCCAAGACATGTTGCTGCCCTCAATTGCTGTTGTCAGAGGATAAAAAGAAGCTCCTTTCCCAATAGCCAATCAGATCAGAATTTGAAGATTTCTTCAATGCCAGTGAATAGACAGCATCTTCCACTACACTAGATGGCAGCAGGCTGGCTTAGAGGATGCCATGGAGGTCATGTGGTGATGACACCTCTGTCCTTCAACATCTCACCATCACTTCGCAATTCAACACCACTAATACCGATATGTATAACTTGAGCAAAGCAAAATATATGTTGTTTGATCTGCCTGCCTCTCTGCCAACTTGCTCAGAATGTTTTCCAAGTAGCGTCAGTTAGGAAAGAAGGAAAGAAATAGAAAAGGATGACCAGCAGCAAGGTGGATGGACCTATTTACTGTGACAATGGGTGCACTATTAGAAGACCTGAAGAACCAGGTTGGTGACAAATTATTTTGGAGAAAATCTATGTGGTCTCTAAAAGTCAACACCAACTTGATGGCACATAATCAGTGCCAGTTAGGGGCAGAAATAAGTAAGGCAGCAAGCCATCAGGACCAAAGTAAGCAAACATGGTCATTGTTGGTATGTCTTCTGAGGACCGTGAAAATCACCAGAGGTTCAGAAGACACATCTGGGATGTCTGTAGTGACATGTACAGGATCCAGCAGTTTTATCAAAATGACAAAAGTGGCATCGCACCATTGCAAGGCAAGCTTGATCCCTTTCGTACATGCCTGCCACATAATGACATAGGTACAAAAGGGATGGAACTTGTGTCTGGCCATCATGATGCTTCTTTCATCATTTGCCTCTCTTCAACCTTCCATGAACCCCTCTGGAGGGCTGCCATCAAAGCTGACATGCTTCAGCTTCTGCCACTCTCCATTAGGCTTTTGTGGCTGACTCCAGTGTTTCTGTTTCACAAGGAGCATATTGTTCTCCCACCTATTTAGTGCTGCTTTCCATCCAAGGACAATTCCCTCCTCCAAAAGATTGTCCCACTCACCGCGAGGCAGTCCTAAACTTTCTCTTAAATGGCTGGTAACTGGTTAAGCTCACTGGTCTGACACCCGGCTTTCCTTTCCCTTCTGAAACTGAAATAATAGCTTCTTCTCTTAGCTTTCGATCCCAGGCCTGAAGCGGTGATGTCATTGTTATACACTTCACAGGCTTTGAAGCATGAAATTCAAGTGGATAGTCTATGCAGCATATTCCTGCCAATCAAAAGGTTATTGGGCAGATTACAAAGATTATAATATATTTTAAAAATTATTGTAAAAATGCTAACAGTGACGACAAAAATAACAATGGGAGTAATAATTATCAATTACTTTTTACAGATATCCAGTGTTGATATAGCAGTTAGCAAAAATAATAATACTTTTGATTTTATTAGTCCAGGAGATTGCTCTTTTAAATGTCCTTCTATATAATATTTGGTTGCGCTTACTCTGATCCAAACACATCTGGGCAAATAGAAAAATATAGTATTTTCCCAGCCATCAGAACAAAGAGAAGCTAACGTTATATAAACATCTTCCCAATACATACCTACTGTATATATAAAATGTTACGTATATGTGTTATCTAACGTGTGTACAACAGTCTGCTAGCCCAGTCCCAGACTGCCAGGCTTTTGACTCAGGGATGTCAGCAGCTGCATGGACTAAGTCAGTGTCAGCCTCCCTTCACAATCAGGCCACCTGCTGTAGACCAGTACTACATGCAACAGCTTCTACTTAACTGATGCCCTCCAGATGATGGCCATACTGGATGTGGATTATGCAAGCTGAATTTCAACCATATAAGGGACACCTGGTAAAGAAGTACTGGTCTATATTGAGAAGTAATAGCTTTAGGACTTTTCTAGTCCTACCAAGAAATGCTGAAGATTGATTTTGGACCTTCTGCATGCCAACCTATTCTCTTACATCGAACTATGGTCCTTCCCCAAGTGGCAAAGGATGCTTTGGAGTGCACAGGTTGCTCATATACCACATGTTTGCAGACTCCTCTGGGATCATCTGGGAGCTGTCCTGGTTTAAGGAGTTGCAGGCAGGTTCACAGCCATGTGTATTCTCAAGCACATTTTGCCTCTGCATCCGAAGTGCAGTATGTACCGTATGTAATGCATCTCTGCCTTTCCACAATGAACATTATTTCTAGGTAAATATAACTACAACTGTCTTATTGCCAGAGTTATAACAGTCACAGAAGCAGGACTTCCACTGTTCTTGACAGAAGGATCTGAGAAACAGTACCTTCTGTCTCTGAAGAATAATATAACAAGCAAGATGAAATATAACTTGTCCATTGGCTAAAGAAGCTACAGGTGTAGGTTATCTAACATCCATAGCAGTAAGAACATTAAAACCTCATCCAGTAGTCTTTTTTCCTTCCTTCCTTACAATGTCTGCTTATATTCTATGTGAAAGCTAGAAACTCTCCTACAATAAATGTTTAGAGGCTCTAGGATCCTTTTTTTCAGCTGAAGGAGGACTACAAAAATGACTATTTTTGAAGTCATTTGCCACAGCAACAACTGCAGATATGTATATGAACAATATAAGCACAAAATCCAGAAGGAATCGGATTAGAAGTTCTGAATGTTAACTCAGATAAACAGTTTGGAATGTAGAATTTGACCATTAGAGCTATATACTTTTCTTTGCAACATTTATCTGTGTCATTTTATCATTTCTGAAATTTAAGTTAATGTCATATTCATACTATTACTCATTTCATTTCAAATGTAATTCGTATCACCACTCTGAAGGAGAGCTGTGTATATCTGTATGAAAGAGTGCACTCAGTATACAAATTAAATACTAAGGCAATGTGAGTTTCATAGATTCAGCAAACTGACAATACCTGAAATCATCAAAACACTGTTAATAAATTGTTTCACTGTTTTCTCAAACCTCCTCTTAATTTCTATAAGGCTTCTTCTCCAGTGTTCTTTCTCCACAGCTTCAATGGTTTTTAAAGTCAACTTTGGAAAGAAAAAAGGAAGATAAAAATCATTGTACAATAGTAGAATTTGGTAATTTTTTAGCCCAAGGATTGGACTGAATTCTTTTTTCTTAGTTATGGCATCATAGTGGGTAAGGCTCAGCCAAGGAAAGGAAAGGGAAGGAGAGGAGAGGAGATTTAAAAGCAAGCAGTCTCTTTGAAAAGACAATTTATTGTCCTTTCATTAATAGCAGAATAAGAAAATATTGCAATGGTAAAAAAACAAAAACTAAGCCTCAGGTTTTTATTATATTCTTAATAAAAACTACAATTTATTTCTAAAGAGAGCTGAAATATTATTAAGATGAATATTGGTAATGTGCAGAAACTTTGGAATGTAGAATTAGAATATTGTGTTATGACAACTCAATAATGTTTTAAAGAAAGATTGCCATTTATTTCTTAACAAAACTATCCCAGTCACATGATTCTGGGTGGTGTACAACAGCAGAGACACAAAAGCAATCCCCTACAAAACATCTCTCATCCCCATCAACAACCCCGACATCCCCACAAAACACAATACATATAAGATGATACACAGTCAATCAAGTGGTATTAATGAACTTAAGGTTAATTCATTGAAAGTTTCTTTTTCTTATTTATTAGATACATCAGCAGATGTTTAAGAAGAGATGGGCATCAACTTTTTTATGCTGGAGATGAATAGATTTAAGGGGACTTTGACACATGATTTGGGCTTATTTTATGGTTGTCCTGTTTTTGTGTTATATGAACATAATTGCTGATATGATTTTGTAAACTTGGAATTTATCAGTTTATGAACTTTGGATGTGGAGTGTCCAAGCACTTATGAACTTTGGGCTTGGAGGTCTCAAAAACTGTGTATTTAAAAATTTAATTTTGCATGGTTGGAAAGAAATGATCATTCCAGATTTAAAAAATTCAGCTAAAGAAGTGGGTTCATTCTTAGTCCTTGAGTCAGTTCTTTACTGACAAAACAGAAAGATTGATCAATAAACTTCCAAATGGACAAGTTTTGATGAACAAATTGTTGTTTCAAAATTGAATCACTTTTAGATATTGTCATGAGAGTTTGGTTTCTTGGGAAATGATCAGACATTTAACACACAGAAAACTTGCAAATTATTTTTTTCTCTTTGTAACATAAACAAGATCAGGCATGTTTCTTTCAGCAATGCAAAAATTTTTAAGTCAAGAAATAGTAATCTAGGGCCTTTAAACAGCCACCTTTACTGGTTTTTCTCCTGCCTTCCTGCAGCTTTTACAATTAGGGGCAATGAAACATTTATTTTTATGTGCATGTACAAGTATTTCAAAGGTCATTATTTCTCTAATGGCAAAATTAAAACTTCTGCTTCAGATAAGGTCTGCCTTGTTATGTGTACAGCTATTTCTACAACACTTATTAGAGTTAAGCAAGGGCATTAATTACACTTGGCTGGCAACTTCTCAGGCTGGAAGGACATTGTCTTCATTGAATTTACTCTGGGAGATACCCCTCAGTACAGACTGTCTCTACCCCTCTTCCCTTCTGCTGCATTCCATCACATGTATTGTTGTAATATCATTTTTTTTAATTTAATGTTTTAAATCAGTATTTTCCAATTCTTCACTTTTTGTTTATTATTTCTTCTCTACACTTAGCTGGGAATTTCAGAAGTTCTAATATTAAGGAGAAAGCTTTAAAAAGGATAGAACTACCAATAATTATAATCCATATAAGATTAATAGGATGACGCTGCACTGGACAGAATAACTCTAAATATTAGATCTTAGAGACAATCCAGCATCTGGAGTGTGTCCTGGAGACTGAAAGAGAATTGGACATGGATTAGTGCAACAAAGCCATAATGTGGGTGTCATCCCACATCTTTCATTTAAAAAGACTCCAGGTTCAACCTCTGGCATGACCAGTTAAAAGAATTAAATAGCAAGTGAGAAATAAGACCTCAGACTATGGTAAACCACTGCCTATCAGATTAAATTGTGGCTGTTACCAGACATGGCTTCATAACTATATAGAAAAAGAACTGAAATCTTCCAGCCAGCTCTGCTCATTGTGGGGCACAGCATGATGTAAAGTAGTCAGTAATACTGCTAACTGATCATTAAAGGACTCAGTTTACTTCCCATATAGATCCAAAGCTTTATCTGTAATTCTTGAAGCTGGAGTAAAATAAATAATTTTGTGCTAGAAGAAACACAAAAGAGTCTTGCCTATTTTGTGCAACAGGTCTGTGACAAACAATAACAGAAGAACTGCTATGCAGCTGTTACACTGACCAAAACAGCATCTGTTCTGAAATCCTCCTCATTATCAAATCGTCTTTATTTAAATTCTACACAAAGAAAATCACCTTTATTTAAATTCTACACAAAAAGCACAAACCATGCACTTCAGCTACAAGCTGTGTAGTATGGGAACAGGGAACCTTTTCTTCTTCAACAGCAGCATCTCCCCTCAGCAAAAGACTGTACATGTTGGCAGTGCCAAGACCAGTGCCACTGTCATCATTTGCCTCCGAAAAGAATCATCCCACACCTTTTCTTTCTCTCTCATTTTTAGCAAGGAGCAAGAGAGATGATTTGAGGATAGCAAGATTGAAAGTGTCTTGGATGAGCCATTGCCTTTCATGTGCACACATTTCATACATACACATACACAAGCACCTTTTTAAAGCACAGATATGGCCAGATCCATGTGTACAAAGTGGTAATCTTTCCACACCTGAGCACATAAATCTTTTGAAAATGCAGATCCTGCTGAATCACCCCTTTCACAGCATTCATATTTTTAAATAATTTTATTGAAGTTTTTAATAAACAGAGTAAAAACTAAACTAGAAAGTAAAAAGAAAAAAAGAAAAGTTCAGGAGGTACAGAAAAAAGAAAAACAGAATTCAGAAATTGACATCTTTTCAGTCCTGGTTCAGCAAAAAGTCCATTAGGAGTTGCCAGAAATATCAAAAAAAGAATTTATCCCTGATCAAATAGTCCAACTTTATATTCCTTCTTTTTACTCTTCATAATCTTAACTTTTAAATCATTTCAATGGCATTGCAGGATTTGATCTTTCATCAATCATTGGCATTCAAGAGGAGTCTTGAAAGCTTTCACCAGCCTACTTTGTAAATCCCAAAAAGAGGCATCATCCAGAATTTTTTGTTGCAGCTGTTCCACGTCCAGATCCTTTTCTTGATTTGTCTTTTATATTCCAATTTTTGTGATCTCAATTTTGTTGTCTTCCATGCCTTCAAACTCTATTACGTCTATATCAGGTAAAAGTGTTTTTATTTTTTTTCCATCAACTTCTAAAAATGTATCCATTGAAATCTGTATCCTTTCTGAAATTTTAGTTATTAATATCTCAGCCCAATTATATATATATATAAAAAAACTCTTTAAGATAAGAAGAGGTTAGAGCTGACTGAGAAATTTTAAGTCTTTTCAGCCTGGTCCTTTAGTTTCCTCTAGTGTCCATTTGCAACCTTCATCCAGCCTCAATTCCTAATATGGGTTTTGTCCTATTTCAATCATTTCCCACAAGTATATTATTTAATTATATACTTGTTTTTCAAATCTCCCTGGTCTCCCAATCCATTTAAAACTTTCTTAAATCAAAATCCTCCTTCCTTCCTTCCTTCCTTCCTTCCTTCCTTCCTTCCTTCCTTCCTTCCTTCCTTCCTTCCTTCCTTCCTTCCTTCCTTTCTCTTTTTGCCAATTATATATTATTTTAAATTCTGAAGTCTCTGTTTAAAATTTCTTAAACCCAAAGAAGAAGGAAAAGCTCACCAGGTGTCAAATTAAGCTTGCTGTTATGAAGGTCTGTAATATCCATAAAGTGGTTAAATTGAATATTTCCGAATATGGTTAAAAACTGAGTTTGCGGGGAGGCGGAGCTGGCGTCGCGGCGGTACGGTGTGCGATCTGGAGCTCCCAAGATCGCAGCTGATATCTCCGATGCTGGACGG